GCTCTGGTATACTAAAATACTTTAACAGTTACAATTCCAACCGTTATTTTAAGCAGCTACAACTGAATCAGTACCTAAACCAAAATTTAAGAATCCTTAGGGAGTTCAACATGATTTGTGCCATGGAATGGATTTTTAGCAGTGTGTTCTTGAAATCTATTCACCTATTATATATTTACTACACATTTGTCATTATTTGACACTTTTCAATAAGTGTAAGTATGATATGAAATTGTGAAACTCTTCCGAGATCCATACTGTTGTATTATTGATTTTTTTTAAAACAAAACTGACCCACATTGATCCAGTATTGTCAATTTCCATAGTCTACTTTTTCCAATAGGTGGCGCTGTAATCCACGTAAACCATTTCTGAGCTAGTTATCTGACCCACCCAGTGCCAGTCAAAACTGGGCTTACTCTTAACTCTGCTCTAAACCGGTGCTGTTGGACAGGTACACCAGGTCACAGATCATGTGTATCATGTCTTGGGGTCATTTTACGGCAAAGGCAAGGAAGGTGAGAGGACTTGCCTGAGGTCACACGGCAAGTTACGGAACCAACTATAGGGCCCAGGATTTCTAACTTCAAGTTCTATGCTTTCTTTATTTGTGTTTTCATTCATTTCATTCTCAGATTTGCTCAAATCAAAACCAATTTCTACTTATGGTAGGTGCATAAAAGAAAACTATATCTTTGTCTATTATAAATGGTGTTGATTCCATGCCTCCCTTTTGCAGGAGAGACAGTGTGCTAGTAGAGCTACACAGTGCTCTCTCCACTGGCTAAAAAAAGAGGATTAATGTCAATCTTTTACCAAATCTCCCAAATGAAAACTATTTTTAAAGTGTCCCAGAGAGAACAGAGGAAAAAGGAACACTTATTTAGTGAGGAATAATTACATACTGGACAGACACCTGACTATAAGGTAAGGATCTAGAGTGATAGGCAAACATACCCACATATTTCCTTATTCTCTGTAGTGTCTATAACAGTTTAGCCCATAAGCTCATTTTCACTGAAAATTTACTTTGCCAAGTACCTGTAGACACCACTACTTATGCTGTTGCGTAGTGCAGCCTTTCCTGAGGAGGGCAACCCCTAGGAAGCTTATCTCTAACAGCAGTATCCTTTAATGCTTACTTTTAGTAAAGCACAGAGCAGCTCTGCCTGGTGAAAAAGGCTGTTGACTCTGCCAGCACACGCACGTGCGCACACACATACACAGATACGTTTATGTGTGTATATACGTATACGCACACACACACACACACACACACACGCTACAGTAAATATTCTAATTCCATCTCCCTTCAATCCGATCATCCATGACAGGAACACAGAAATGCCCAAGGGATTGCAGGCTGGCACTGTAGCTACCCTCAATGTAAACAAAGGATTGCAAAGGCAAGGTGGCAGACAAAGGGTGACTTCTGGTCCTTAAAGAAGCATTATCATTAAGCTCTAGTACCAAAAGAGTGGTAAGTCAGAGCAAGGTTATCAACCTAATTCAGGACAAGTTTTAGTTTCCCCCTGAGCATAAAGTCTATTACTACCTCCGACCTTACTGTATTCCCTAATCTGAATAAGCTCTTTGGTGAAAAATCAATGTACAAATAAGGATATTCTTCTGAAGATAATGCTATGTGTTCACATTCCTCCAAATGAAACATTCTGAGCATATCTCTGCATAAGTTGTATAAGAAGACAGAGAGAAACTTTCTAAAAATCTTCCCCAAGAAGACATTTTGGGGGAAAAATACATATATTTACATAT